TTGGTAAGGTATAAATTTCATCGAGCTCTGTCGTCTGGCAAAGGTTCAGTGATCGAAAGTTGCTTTCGTCCCTAAGTTTTGCACACCAGTGTAGTAGATGAAAATAAGTCAAACTGGAAACTAGCTCAATCTCTTTCCAAAGCGAGGCATCAAACGGTAATATAGCGATTTTGTCGGAAAACCAATTTCGAGGAGAAAATTAACAGGACACAATATTGAACTTTGTAGTGAACAATTTAAAAGAGGTTCTGACTAATTGTAAAAAAAAATGGTGCGCTGTTGGTTGACTTCTCATAATGGAAAATGGAGATTGATTTAATTGGTTGTTTGGCTGAGTTTCATCATCTCGACTTGCCATTGCTCAATCCTGAAATTCAATCCAATAAAAACTGTTCCTGAAGTGGGACATCATTTTGTGGCACAGTCAATTAACTTCCCGAATGGTGCGTGACATGATTCAGAATATAGAGGCATAATATGAATTTCATTTCGAAAAATATCGACGTTATGGATGTCTCAGCCAAGTAAAATGCACGGGTGCTTCTCAAAAATTGAATTGGTCCACTGCAAAAGTTTATTATTATTTCTCGAATAGCATTGCTACAGTATGTCACTCATTTGCGAACTACACAACGTTGCCCACTGCAGCACTGCGTAGGCGGCTGTGATAGGTTAGAGCAGCGATCAACCAATCACAATCCTGCCCATATAGCTCATCGCGCTCGCTTCATTTCTTTCCAAGCGCTATGAGAGATGTGTCACTATTTCTTCTTCGTTTAAGGTCTACTCTCAACTTTGCAATCAGTTATGTTTATTGATGTTTTGTTTAAGGTAAGTGAAGAGGAGCGTGTTCGCAGGGCTGAGAAGAAACGAGAAAAGAAGTTGCTATCGAAACAAAGCGACGAAGAAGTTCGCAGATTGGAATTACTCAGGAAGGAAAAAGAGGTGAGCTGATCTGGTTTCTGTTAGATCTCGAGTGGCAGTTTCAATTTGCTTGCAGAATTTAAAACTGATATTTCAGAGGGAAGAGCGCCGTTTGAAGAGAGAAGAAGAGAAGAGACGTCAGGAAGAGCTGGAATACCAGAAATGGCAAGAAATGCAGAAGAAGAAAGAGGAGAAACTTCAAAGAGAAGCGGCCGAGCGAGAGGCTGCCGAGAAGAAAGCTGCGGAGGAAGCCAAGAAAGCCCGTGAAGCACAACTTGTGGGTTACCCCGAGCTAGCTTGTCTTACTAATCACCTTAACATTTGATATTTTTATTCAAGTTGTCTCGATTTTCCTCATTTCGCATCTTTCCTGTTCTAGGCTGCTGAGAAGGAAAAGGCAAAGAAGGCGAAGAAAGCAGCTGAGAACGAAAAGAAAGCAGCTGAGAGCGAAAAACTTACGAAGACTACAGTTTCTGTTGTGAGTACATCCAATGAAAATGGCTTCTTTGAATTGATTGGGTCTCGCTTTGGCAAAGCGCGCTACGTGCTAATCGAAGCTGTGATTCGTGGGTCATAGAAACCACCAATGATGGGTGTTCCCTATGAGTGATCAAATGAATGTCAGGCTTTCCTGTGTTGCTCGTTTTCAGCTAGGATTCGCATCACTTACTCAGCTAGGATCCATTTTCAGGATAAAACTTCGCCCCCTGAACAGCCAGTCGCGCCTGCTGCCAAAAAAGTTGAGGAGGAGGTATGGGCAGATTCGTGCATTTTATTCTTCGATCTGGTTAATTTTCTGTACTTTTCTGTATGACATTGAAGATGACTGTTCCTAATTCATCATAAGATCGTCGCAGAGTCCATTTCTCATTTTGAAGGTGATTACTTAAGCCTGAAAAGAAGAAGAAAAAGAAGGAGAAAGAGCAAAGTGTCGAGAAGGAAGCGCCCGTCAAAGTTAGCAATGCTGTAGAGACAAGTCCGCCTGTAGTGGAGGATGAAAAGGTAGAGGCCAAATCGAAACGAGTTTTTCCTAATATTTTAAATAGTGCTGGCCGTATATATCTAATGTATTTCAAGCAATCGAAAAAGAAAGGTGGTAAGACGAAGAAGACAAGTGAAAGCGACTCCGGCTTCCACAATGGTGAGCACGATACTGTGCTGTCGAATGATGTCGAGGATGAGAAAACCCATGGAAAGCACAATGAGGTACGGCTGTTTTTAAATATCCTAATAGACATATGGGTGTATCACCCCAATATCATATCACTCCTACTAATCCACGATACTTTTTGTTTGTGCTAACGATTATTTGAATGAGAACAGATTGCATCTGGCATGTTGATGTGGAAATACTACTGATTATTTTATTCTACTTCACGTTATTAACCCAACGATATATACGAACGTTATCGTGTATTCTAACGAAATCCCTAAAAACTATAACCGAAGGCAGTCTCTGAATCTTGATTATTTTGTGAGTCCAGAGAAGCAGGGGCAGACCCTGAGTCTCTGGCCTTAATGACGAATTTGCCGAAGTCTACATCTCTATCGGAGAACTTGATGGAATTTGCCAGTCACCCATGTTTTCCACTTTTTTCTTTGGAATTGGAGGTGGGGAGGAGAGGGACTAGGCATTTTCGACTGCCGGTACAGAGCGATAGGATACCGTCGAAGGTTTGGGTTTGATATTTCCCGTTTTGTGATTAGAATACACAAGACATGAGTGTAATGGTCACAGTTCTCCAGAACAAAAAAAATGTCCACTGGTACGATAAAGGAGAACTCGAACGGCGTATGAATGAAGGCGTAATGAAAGTATGAGAGAGGAGGACCGAGACGGGTCTTTCACGCTTGAGCGGGGTGCGCTTCGTTGCGCGCGTCCGTTGAAGCTAGGTCACGCCGCAGCCGTCGCATGCGGCGGGTCAGCCCGCGATATTTGACAGACGACGCAGCTGTCAGTGGGGCATACAATTTGCGCTTGGTCCATGGCAGTCAGCCAGAGAGAAGATAACACGGACAAAAGCAAATCGTTAGCTCCATTGACACTTGGTGGTACTGTAACGTCATCTTGAGACCGCGCCGCGCTGCCGACGGGCGAGGTGACCTAATTTCGACGGACACGCGCAACGGACTTTCTTCGCTTGAGCGTTATACCGTTGGCTGCTGCCGGCATGCAGTTGGAGGCGGACGTACATATATTTGGAAGCGGCGTGTGAGGGGCTAAGCGACGGCGGCCCTATCCAAGCGTGTGACAGCAGCGGGTACCGATCGATACCGCAAGTCGAGGATGGCTGCTTTCACACACTTGGATATGGCCGCCGTCGCATAGCCGCTCGCACGCCGCTTCCTAAATGTACGGCCGTCTCCAATTGCAAGCCGGCGCGCACGTCGAAGTATGAAAGCAGCCTTTCCCTTCCACGCTTTACCGGTCGCTCTGTAGCACTGTGCAGTATCACATCCTTTTCTGTGCTTCCACACCGGCTCTGTATCCTACTGGTCAATTCCGCTCCATACAACTTTTGGCACGTGGATGGCATTTGACTTTCCCTAACACTCTTCCTTTGTTACGGCTTATCCCCAAAATTCTACCTTCCTGGATCGGAGCACCTTCGTAGCATCATTCGAGGCTTAATCATCTAGCACTCCCCTTTTTTGTTCGAGGGAAAGATTTTCTTTTCTCTCATGCGAGCATATGTCCTTGGGAGAAGTAAATTGGGGATGGGTACATACGTGCGTCCAAAATGAGCACGGCAAATTGCGCGACGAAATTCATGGTGATTTTGACGACTCTGACGTCTATGGTTGGACCACAGGTCTGAAGTAAAGCTGATCCTACTAATCAACTCTACTTTCAATCTGGGCCCTAATGATCGTCGCTAAAGCCGTTCAAATCGCTACGAACTTCGTCGCGCAAATTGCCGCGCGCATCGCCGGACGCAAGTATGTTACGTCCCCCGTGAATGGTACCTTCTCACGGGTGTGGTGCGATTCACGCGTCAATATAATGAGGTCATCGGACAAAACTCGCTAAAACCTGCCATCATGCCTACCATCATAACGGAAGAAATAAGAACTTATAAGTAGAATAAGTAAAGAAATGACCAACTATGCAAATTTACAGAAGGACTGCGTTTTCTAGGATCAAAA